ACAGAGCCCGACGTGATCCCAGGACTCTGGGATCATGACCTGAGCCAAAGGCAGACGTTTAACTGACTGAGCCACCCAGGTACCCCTGAATTTAGAAATCTTAGTTGATATTTTTCTTTCTGTAGTTTAAAAATGTTGATCCACTCTCCCCTGCTTTGCATTGTTTTTAATGAGAAGTCTGCTGTCATTCCTGAGTTATTTTTCTCTGTGTATATAGTTTGTCTCTTAATGTCTGCTTTTTAAGATTTCTCCTTCACTGTTTTTCAGCAACTTGACTTTAAAATTATGAGAGTGGTGTTGTTGTTGTTGATCTCATTCTCTTTGAAGGTTGTTGAAGTTCTTTAATCCATGAATATAGTTTTCATCAGATTTAGGGAAAATGCCATTGTTTTCTCTGCTTCCCACTCTTGCTCTGAGGCACTGGTTATGTTAATGATAAGTTGCTTGATATTGCCCAGTAGTTCTCTGTCTTTCTTGTTATTCTCTCACATTTCATTGTCCCACAGTTCCTTTTATTTTCACTGTGTTTAATTTTGGATTTTTAAAAAATTTTTTTGCTTTTTTAAAGATTTTGTTTATTTATTTGACAGAGAGAGACAGCAAGAGAGGGATACAAGCAGGGGGGTAGGAGAGGGAGAAGCAGGCTTCCCACTGAGCAGGGAGCCTGATGTGGGGCTTGACCCCAGAACCCTGACAAAGGCAGATGCTTATAAAGACTGAGCCACCCAGGTACCCCGGATATGGATATATATATATGTGTGTGTGTGTGTGTGTGTGTGTGTGTGTGTATTTTTGATTGCTAGTTGTGTCTTCAGTTCATTAAACATTTCTTTAAAGTTTAGAAAAGACTGCTAATCTTACCCAATGCATGTTTAATTATAGATACTGAATTTTTATTTCTAGAAGATAAGTTTGAGCCTTTTAAAAATCTTTTTACCTTTCAAATAATTATAAACTCATAAGAAGATGCAAAAATAGCACAGAGAAGCCCCATATGCCCATCATCCATCTTCCTCCAGTGATGTCTTCTATAACTATAGTGCATTATTGAAACCAGAAATTGACACAGTATAGTTTTCACCAGATCTCTCTTTTTTTGTATGTGTTGTTTATTCTGGTGGTATTTTGTCAAACATGTAGAATCCTATTACAACCACCACCACAAGCATGATATAGAACTTTTCTGTCACCATAAATTCCTGTGTTGCTAACTTAGGTCTTTTCCATGACCTTGCATTTCTCTTACCATATTCATAGTTTTCTTTATCTTTTTGAATGTATGGGATATATTTATAGTATCTGTTTTAATCTCCTTGTCTACTAAGTCTATCACCTATATCATTGCTGGTCTTTCTCCTTATTATAATTCACCTTGTTTGGGGTGTATTTCCTGTTTCTATACATGACTGGTAATTTCTTATTGGATGCCAGGCATTTAATTTTATATTATTTGTGGGAGTGTGTTGTATTGTTTTTAATATTGTTGGGTTTTGTTTTAGGTTACAGTTATGGCACTTAGAAATAGCTTCATCTGGGGCACCTGGGTGGCTCAGTCAGTTAAGCATCTGCCTTCAGCTCAGGTCATGATCCCAGGGTGGTGGGATCGAGCTCCACATCAGGATCCTTGCTCAGCAGGAGTCTGCTTCTCCCTCTACCCCTCCCCTCCAACCCCACAACGTGTGCTCACTCACTCTTGCTTGCTCTTTGGCATGTGCACTCTCACTCTATCTCTAATAAATAAATAAATAAATAAAGTCTTAAAAAAAAAAAGTGAAGTAGCTTTATCCTTTTGAGGCTTGTTTTATCTTTGTTACTGCTGCTCCAGAACATCCTTAGTCTAAAGCTTACTCAGTTTCATTGTTCATGCATTTATTAGCTTCTGAACTCTAGTCAGTATTTCATGTGTTAAAACTGCCCTACTCCAGATGATGGAAACCTGAGTTCTGAGGATTGGTCTGACTACTTTTCCGAGGCTTTTTCTCCAGATTCAATAGTTTTTTCACATGTGTACACAGATAAGTACTCAGCTAAAACCTTGAGGGCAATCTGGTTGTCTTCAGATCTTTGAAACTCTTTCTCTGCAGCTTCCTTCTCTTCATTTGCACTGCAAATTCTAGCTGTCTTGGTGTCTCCCCTAGGTCTGGGTTCTTTTCCTTTAACTCACTGAAACCATTAGGCTTTGATTGGGTTCTGCCTTCCCCCTCCCTGTTTTAGCTGCATAATTCCACAAGCAGTAGAGCTTCATTAGTTCAGTTGTTTTTTTTTCTGTTCTGTCTCAGGACACATCCAGAGATGAAGTCTGTTGTCTGAAAATCATTATTTTAATTATTTTATTTAATCTTCTAGTTATTTAAGGCAGGAGGATAAATATAGTCTCTGTTTTTCTATCTTGGAAGGCCTCCTGCCTTATAGGAAATTTCACTGTAGTTTTATAAATACTTGTCTTTTCTTACTTTTGAGTATTTAGGACTTAGGAAAACCAGTTTATAAACTTCAGTGAATGTAGGCAGTTAGAGGGCATGTTTTCTCATACTTGCTCCTTTTCACATACACTTAACATGTATAGTTACCTTCTCTTTAATATTATGCATTCTTTCATTCCCAGTATCAACGCAATCTATTACTGAAGATTTTTATTTAATACAAGATAATGGTGACAAATGTTAGCTCTTTATGGTTACCTAAAAGAAAATAGAGTGCCTCCATTCCTTTTTCCCTTTATCAAAAGGAGATGATGAGTCTTAGTTATTGATCAATATAGAATATTGATTCATATAGTCCTTAGAGCATTTAGTGGCTGTTGACTGAAACCCAAAGCCATGAAATACTTGAAGTTATCCCAAGAGGGAGAAACAAAAGAAATGAACAAAAACAAGTTTTTCCTTTGTACTAAAATTCATAGTGTTCCAAAATTAATACTTTTCTTTTAGCTGGTAAGTTTATAGATTAAATAATAACTTTTATATTCAGTTAAAGTCTTATTTAGCATATAAAGTCCTAGTTGTCTTTTTATAACCTATATAGTTAGGTTATGCTAAAATATATTAAATTACATTCAAATTGTCTTGCCTGATACTAGATTTCTAACATCTTTTGATGAAATGCATAATGTGAAGGTATGCATGTACTTTAATATAAACATAACTAATTTAACAAGGGAAACATTTTTACCCTGTAAGAAAAAACTGAAGCTTTACATTATTATCCACTGAATTCAGAGTTGCCATGATTAGATTAATAGTTAAGGCAAGTAGTGCTTTAAATTACTACTTTTATAAAGCACTAACATTAAAATGGGGTTAATGTTTTTTCATGGGATGCATAATAAAATAGTTTTGCTCTCATTTTGTAACAGTCATGAAAATTTAAGTTGGAGCTGAATGTGTGTCACTTAACTATTCTTGGACATCAATTCACTTGATAATTTTATTTTATGAATAACCTAATTGCTTGAGAGATGATAAAGTTTACATTTATGGCAATAAATATACTTATGGTTTAAAAAGTTTTCTCTGTTATTTTTGAGGAGACATACTTAATATCAGTAGTACATATAAATTGGTAATGAACAATTAGCATTTTTGGCCTTGAGCCAGGCATATTAAAATATTTCAGCCAAACATACAGTGTAAGATGGTTAAAATTAAGTAAAAATATAGCACTCACTAACTTTGTGCTTGTAATCAAATATAAAACCAGAGATGGAATATCAGTTTTCAATATAGGCTTTCATTATGTGGACTCTTTTTAAAACTTAAATGTAATCATACTAATTTTCAGTGATTTATTTTCCTTGAAAACATTTTCTCTTATTAGATTACTTTTTAGAGGTAATCCGTGTGTGTGTGTGTGTGTGTGTGTGTGTGTGTGTGTGTTGGTTGGTTTTAATCCAGTTGATTCATACTTACTATGAATTTAAATTAGAGGTTTTTATTATCTTCTCCCAAAGTAAATTTCATATGATGTTAAATAATTGCTCGAAATTTGAATATAATTTCTAGTGGTTAGCAGCTATTTATTATATTATTTTAATAGGTATACTTACTACTTCCCTAGGGTAAACATTTTACTAAAACTTAGAGGAGGTACATTGGTCTTGATAAGATATATTTACAAATTCTTTGTAGATACCACTTTTGAATTTTTGATCTTTCGTTTTAAATCTGTATTTTTGAACTAGCATCTCTAGGGACTATCACCTCTACTTCAGTGGTTTGTTTATTTATTTTGGTAACTGAGGTGTACAGTGCTTCATCATTTTGGAATTAGGTATCTGTCCAGGTTAAGAAATGAGCTCCATTATTTTTCTGCTTTAATGTGAAAAAATAAATTCTATTAGAGCATGTACAAAATTGGTGGATTGAAGGACAAAGGCATCCAGAAAGTTGACATGTGTTGCTCCTCTTCCTTGGAGTAAATTTTAATAGAAAATCATATTTTTATAAACTATATTTATATATAACATAAAATAAAGTTATATTATAATTCAGTTTAATGAAATTGAATTAACTTCATATCTACTAATCATCCTGGGAATATATGATGTATTCTAGTCTTATGGCATAGGAATAAACCTCATAAACTGAAAGAATAACAGCTGTATTAAACAAGTACTTGGAGGACAATGATTTGAAATTACATGACTGAATCTGAATTAATTGGTTATTTCTGAGACTAAGAGGAGAATATTTAAAAGAAAAAATATGTCAGCTGAGGTCTGAATTTTTTTGTCTACTTTTTTATGTGTCTTCCTTGTGTGTGAGGTCTGGTGGACAGTTTTAATGGGTGAGTAGAAGTGGGAGGGAAGAGTTCTTTATATTTAGTAAATTCTCAAAGTACCTGCCCACTCTAGCCCTCCCTGGGTGGTTAAGAGGAAGATGAGTTGTATTAATTTTAAAAAAATAGTTTTTGTTTTCTGTGTATCGTATTGGATATTTTTGCTACTGTTCATATATTTACATGTTAGTAATTTTGACGGCTTTTGGATAATTCCACTCTAGAGGGAGAACTGGTGGGCGGTCCTTCCTGTGACACGACCCTTGAGTGACAGTTCTATTTGATTGCCTCCAGTACTGTGAGGAAAGGACACGACTCTATGGTGAGGACTGATGGACATACATTATCTGAGAAAAGAAACTACCAGGTAAGATCAGTTTTTTTTTTTCTTTTTTCTCTGTTCATATAGCTGCATTGAACTGTTTAATGTATTATATTTAATTGACACTAGCAGATTAGATGCACTTCAGTTGGAAAAATTTGGTTTATAATTTAAAATACATGTGTTGGCTTTGACAGTTGAAATAGGTGGGGACATTTTTCAAAATAAATGATGCTATGATAAATGTATATTCTTTTAATATCAAAACATTTTTCTGGTGCTTCATGTATATGTCAAAACTTAAATTATCTGATACATAATTTATGACTCCATGGCTGGGTTTCGAGATAGTATTCTGTAAAATAAAGTACTGATTACTTTCATATGTATTATTCCTGGAAGACTAAACCTGAATTCTTAGGCAATATGCAGAGTAATAGAGCATCACAGAAATGTAGATAAAATTGGTTAGAGTATAAAAGAAATGCAAATCCCGGGGTGCTCAGAGACCCAAATTCTATTGAATTTCTCATTAGCTTGCTATCTTTACAATGCTGGATTCTTGTTTTGTCATTTATTAAGTTGGTTAATAATATCCATTCCCTATGTAGCATTTAAGGATGCTGAAAGGATGGTTTAAGTATAATACTCCTTTTTCTTTCTTAGATTTTAAAAGAAGGTGAAAGTGGTATGAAGTAGTGATTTAAAAAACATTTTTTCAATTTAATATTTTCAAAGAAAATCTCCTTTTTAAAATTTGATAATAACTTATTACCAAATTATGCAACAATTCACAATAGAGAACAGTTCACCACTCAAGTATGAATAAGCTTTAGGCTTTCTGCACTGATACAGACTCAAGTGTCCCTCAGACCCTTTAACCTACCAGTTTCATTCCCTCTAGACTATTGAAGGCAACTAGTGTGGTAACAGCTTTGATTCACTAACCATTTATCTGCTAATTATTTATTTAAGCCCAGTTAATCTTTTTTCCCTCAGATTGGAAAGGTAGATAGTGGAAAAAGTTGTGAATGGGTCTTCATGGTGTTAATAGCAAAGACTCTTTGATTATAAGATTGAGCACTGTGCCTAATAACAATAGTGTCAAATTATCCTTCCTTTCACTTAACTTCTTGTCTGAAGTTTCTTGCCAGAATGTTACGATTTTAATAAGCCATAGCTGCGGCAATGCAGAATCAGTTCCTCCCTGTAACCTTTTCTACTCAGAGTTCTCATAGACTTCACTAACAACGGCCTTTGCTAATTTTCATACTTGCTATAGCTCCTTCCTCACAACCACTTCCAACTACCTTGACTCATAAGGTTTTAATTGGTCGTACTACTTGGGCTGTTGCATCTTTTGATAGGTTTTGCTAAATTATTTTAAGAATATTGTGATTCTAGGCTATGTAACTTTTTTGTGCTCATAATCAAGTTTGTAAAGTGTAAGTATAGAACTTTTTGTATGACTACACAGTGTTGTTAATTTACTTCATAGAATCATTTTAATACAGAATTCCAAAATTTACATTTAAGAAAGGAATAAAATGAAATTATGTTTTATACATGAAGAGATTTCCTAATTCCTGCTCATTCTACTCTAAAAATAATCTGTTGTTCAAGTTACATTATTTATAACTAATCCAGGTTCCTTAACTTACCTGAAAAAATTCTTGGTTAGTGTTTTTCTGGCTGAAAATATTTTTCCCTTTTTTCTTTTATTGTTACTTAGTGACACTTAATGCCTGTTGAAATACCCTTGGAAACAATTATTTAAATTTCTCCTGTAAAATTATTTTATTTTTGAAGCATCTCCTGCAAAGTACATGTATAGAAATATAATCTCCCATCTGATCATGATGCACATATTAAGAGCATATGGGAAATTCAAAGGAATACTAAGTAAATCACTTGTATTTTTATAGGTAACACTGAAAGTTTGTATATGCTGAGATGGAAGGATTTGGATTTTTAAAAATTCCATTTTGAGGAATTCTGTTGTTTTTCATGGGTAAAGTAGGATTTCTTTGTACTGATGTTTGCACTCAATTTATCCTTGAGGGCTTCTGTTTTTGAAGGGTACTTGATGCCGTATAGTGATATTTAAGGAGCCTGATAATTATACGCTAATATTCCAGAGTTTAACAAGAAGAATAATATTTCTCTAATTCTCATTTCTTTATAGACCTGATTGAAGCCTTAGGAACTTAGTTTAAGAATATGCATTCCATCACGTTTGTGCTAAAACCTACGACTTTCACATGGGTGTTGGTTGAAGTATTGATTTTTATACTGGTAATTATTTTGTTGCGTTTCTTTCTGTAAATTTAGGCCCAATTAAGTTTTTGGAGTTTGTATAGAGTAGTTGAGTTTTATTTGCTTAGACTGCTATATTAGGTCAGATGAGAATTTAATTATTTAAATGTTTCATAGCTCATTCTTTTTTGGAAGGATTGTTAAGCTTTTTCCATTGAATGTTTTTTGCTAGTATTTTCTTATCTTCCTTTAATTTATACTAATTTACTTCAGCTATAAGTATGTACAAATCTAGCCATGTTAATTATGTTAATTACTAATCTAACTCATCAGTGGCTTTCCCTCTCTTATATAATAAACCAAGCTCCTAAACATTATACAGTGTTTCCACTTTTTGACCCCAACATGCTTTCACCATTCCAATCTCTCCTTTTATTCCCTACTATGAATTTTTTTTCAATTAGGAATATAAAGCTGATTTTAATCTACCTCCCATACACTTTTACAGTTTTAAGCCTTTATTTGTTTTAGTTCTCTTCATGTAATGCTTCACCTTTGTTTACATGATTCAAGAATTAGGTGTTAATACTTCCAGAAACCCTTTTTTGACGAGCTCAGTGCTCCTTTTCCTTGCTCTCATAGACTTTGTAATACTTCTAGTTTGGTGCTGACCGTAATAGATTGTAGTTCTGTTTATTTGTCCTTGTCTTCCTGTAGACCTGTGCTGTCTAATACTATATGCACTAGCCATAGTGGATATTTAAATTTAAATTCATTTAAATTAAAATTTAAAAATTTAGTTTCTCAGTTGCATTAGCCACATTTCAGATGCTTAACAGCTGCCTGCTGATAATGGCTACCATGTCAGACAGTGCAGACGTAGAACTTTTCTGTCATTGCAGTGTTACTGTATGTTATAAGCTTCTTGAAAACTGGAGCCACTTTTTTTTTTTTTTAATTTTCATACTGCCTATTAATACCTACCATGATTTTGGGTAAATAACAGGGGTTTAATGCACATTGTTTCAATAAAATTAAAACAAGGAAATCAGTGAAAGAAAGAAATTGTAGCATATGCTAGGTAACATATTACTAATATTTCCAAAATTTTTAGGTATTATTCCAAATGGAACTTTTTATAATATGAGGTCATTGATCATGTCAGTTCAGTGTTATCTGTGTGGATCTAATGCGTCCCAGTCGCTGATTTAACTTTGTGGAATATAACATGTCACATGACTGTGACAGTGATTGTATTGCCATTTCCTCCTCCCTACCCCTGCTGTTAAATGCTTTATTTCCTTTTTATTAATTTTTTTAATCACAGAAGTTATAGAGGTGCATTGCAGAAGTTTTGAAGAATAATGGAAATAGAATGTGAAAGTTTACATTAACTCTTTAGTTTGTGTATCTTTTCAGATCTTTTCTAGTGACTATATAGGGGCAAATGTAATTTGTTGTCTTTGTTTTTAACAAATAGACATTTTTCTGCAGCTTGCATGTTGCACTTAATGGGGAAGTTTCTATGTGCCATCCTTCTTCCCCTGCCTCCTTCCCAGAAATAACCACTAGCTTGAATTTTGTGTTTCATTCTTTTTATTTTTATAATTTTGTTATATGTGTGTGTTTCAGTATATACAGGTGCATCTTTTCTTTGTGTGTTGTGTGGTGATTTTGGGGAAAGTGGTACTATATATTTTGTTTTTTCATAAAGGAAGAAAAATAATGAATTTCTAGCCCACCCAGAACAAATTCCCAGATATTGCCAAACAACTCAATACCTGACTATTCACCCAAGTATTTTTGCATAATATGAAGCATTTAAAAAACAAGTTGCCTAGTTATTTTAACACATACAAATGCATCAGTAGGTGTGTTTCCATTTGGTTTGCAAGACAGTTACAAAGTACTATATACTAATTATATTTTTATATTTTGCACTGTAGTAAAAATGTAATGTAAATTAGGAATGAAATGCCCATTTCTTTTATTCTAAGTTACACTTCATTGAAAATTTATGTCTTTCTGCTGTCAGGATACATCTTACACTGTGGTATATTGGAGTCATAGTTGTAGCTTGTAACCATTTATTGGATGGTTACCGTCTAGTATGCAGCACCAACATCAAAGCATCTTAGAATCTGTAATAGGTTCAAGTATGTTAAAGATACATAAAATAAAAATGCTTAATAAAATGAACAAGAATTTTTAGAAAATGGGTACTTAGTAATTTAAGATTTGTCAGAGTGGATCTGGTGCCCAGAGCAAAAAGATGGAGGCTTTCATTATTATTGCTGTTTGGTGTTGGGTTAAGGTGAAGAGTTAACTGAGGAAGGAATTAGTTCAAAAATATGTCTGAAACCAGTGAACTGGCTCACAGCTTACTCTTCTTTTCTCTTGCAACTCTTGTGAACAAATGGCTGTAACCTATTGTCTGTAGCTAGAGATGAAGCAAGAGGATAGAAAAAACTGAAAATGGATGACTGTTCACTTGGAGTTACACAATGAGGTTGCTCTTACAATTACACTTTTGAATGTGATGCTTCTGCTTATGTCACAATCACATTATCAACAACATTTTGACTCCATGACCTCTAAATATTTTCTTAAAAATTGACATTTATTTGTTACTTTTGGCGCCTTTTTTTTCCTTCCTCTGGCCAACCAAGAACATAAAGTTCAATGAATTCCCAAGGTACTCTTCATTAGTTGGCTCATTATTACAGGACACCAACAGTGTTAGTCTTTCTTTGATTGCATTATATTTTCTGATATTACTTTTCCTCATC